CCAAAATCGATCAGAAAGGATTTTTAACATCAATTTTTGATTTTTGAGGTATTTTTAGGTACATGAAGTGTGTTTTAATCTCTGCAGAAAAATTTAGAAAACCTAGGGACTACTAGTAGGCGCAATAAAAAATTCGGTGTTTCGGACACCGATTCAGGTAAGAATCTCTCACCCTATTTCTTGTTATGGAATTGAAACTTAATAATCAATAATATGATATTTTGTTAAATTTAGAAGACTTTAAGAATAATTACAGGTCACTAATGGAGTCGGAATCAGTTAGTTATTTATTTGTCGTATTTAACTGATTATTTAATTTTACAGCTTTAAATACATGATAATATATTGGAATAGTTAAATGATTTAGTTGTGCTTACTTGCATTTATCGCTTGTCTTGCGTGATTTATAGTTGATTTATGAAATTTAAAATTAATATGCAAATGAAAAATTGCTTAGTTATGTGAATTACTGAATGGTTGTCTTATTGGATATCTTGAGAGATGGTGGATGGACTGGGTACATAGAGAACCCTACCGTAGACGTTACCTTATACTGGATGGGGTATCAAGGGATGATATTTTTGGGGCTCATACCGGACGGGGTATAGGGACAACCTGATTCACCCTCATATCGGACGGGGTATTGAGGGATGATATCTTTGACGCTCATACTGGACAGGGTATGGGGACGGCCAGTTAGTTGACAAGTTTAGATATTAGTTTCACGCGTAGTGAGACACTCCTATGGACCCCTAATGATACTATTAAGCAAAATAAAAAGGAAAGTTGTTCTTCTTGCTCACTTGAATATGAGATCATAAAGTTATTTGAATTATTATCTCTATAGGTTGATTTTAGAAATCACTTAACGGTAAGTATACAATAAATATTTTTCCTTATGATAAATGAATTTACTTAAATTAAGAGTTTAATTGATTATTTTTACGATTTTTATCAACTTTGAGTTTCTGTATCAGTGAGTAGTGTGATATTTTTATTGGGATAGTATAGCTCACCTCCTCCCCAATTAACCATTTCAGATCAAGATCCCAATCTTGATCAGTAGGAGGGTTGTGAGTAGGTGTACCCTCGGATCCTATCAAGAGCTTGTGGAGGTTAACCTCCCTACAATATTTATTTACTATTTTCATATGTTATTATGTTTTTTTTATGAACCGTTGTGAAAGAAACATTTCTGTAGCCCTATTGAGCATGCTAATTTATGTGTAAGGAATCTAAACACTAACATTATTATACGCTTCTACATTTAAATTATAATTTTATTTTATCTAAGGTTCCGAGTCTTTACATTGGTATCAGAACCGCGTTCCTCAGAATTATTCCACACACAAAACCTAAAGAAACACCAAAAAAATGAATTATCGCTCAATCATTTCTTGTGAAATGCATGTACAAATATATGAGGAGAGGAAGACCCTAAATCGAGCAGTCCGGAAGGGTTCACTTTGAGAGGATGTTGACCACTATTTGAAATGTTAGAGAGACTCATCATTGTCCAGCACGCCCGAGAGAAAAGGAGATAGCTATCTGACCCTCTCCTGCTGCCATAGTTTGAGCCACCCTTGCAGTGGGAGGATCCTAAGTCACCCCGGTATAACCCTGCTCCTCTACAGTACCATCCGATACCACCACAATATAGTCTGATGCCCCCACTACATCACCTGGCACTACCACAGTACAATCATGTGCCTCCACCGTATCATTCAGTACCATCAAAAGGCCATCTGGTCCCTCCCCAGCACAATCCAGTCCCTTTTCCATGAGAGCCAATTCCACCTATGATGGACCCAAGCTACATTGAGAGGTACAAAAGATTAAACTTATCTACTTTTGCATGGGCATCCTCTTTTGAAGATGTTGAGTACTGGTTAGCTGAGACAAAGAAGACTTTCACGACTATTAGGATGATTCCCGAACAGAGAGTTATACTTGCTACCTACATGTTGGTGGGAGAAGCAAGTCACTGGTGGCAGCTCAAACAGGCCACCTTACACGTTCCAGTCACTTGAAAACAGTTCCTGATGGGCTTCAATGCAGAGTACCTCCCAGAGCATCTCCGACATCTGAAGGAAATGGAGTTTGTACACTTAGTCCAGGGTTATATGACTGTGTCAGAGTATACCTAAAAGTTCTTAGAGTTGGGCCGATATTCCTCTGAAAACATGATGGATAAAGGCAGAAACGCAAGGAAGTTCGAGTAGGGCCTCTGTCTTGATATTAGACAACAGTTGTATATGTTCGAGCTCAGTACTTACTCAGCTATTCTGGTCAAGACACAACTAGTGGAGAGGAACCTTCGCATTTTTCCTCCAGTAGTGGGGAACCTCATGCTCCCGACTTCATATTGCAGACCAGCACCCACTGCACATGTTCAACAGAATAAGAGACCTAGGCTAGTGACTCAAGCTCCTCCTCAGATTTCGGTAATAGGACGTGGTAGACTTTCCAGAGTCTATAATGTATTTGATGTGTCTATACTACGTAAGTACAACATGGACTCCTATCACATCTTGGCCCACGAGCCCTTTTCATTTCAGGAAGATTTGTCTTATGATGAGGTATTGGTGGGCATTGTAGACCGAAAGAACAGAATACTCTGTATTAAAAAATTTTATTCGTTAAGGGCCTATGGCAGAATCACACACAGAGAGAAGTCACATAGGACCTAAAATCAGATTTCAGAGCCCAGTATTCACAACTATTTGATTAAGTGAGAGTGACAAATTTGAGGGATTAAATTTGTTTTAAAGGGTAGAGAGTTGTAATATCCAAGCTCGAAAAATTAGCCCGTGATAAATTTTTTTAATCTAAAGATGTATAAAAAATCTATTTTATAAATTAATTTAATGAAATTTTTGTTATATTTGGGAAAAAATAAATTAGGGATGAGATTAAAAATAATTTTGAGAAAAAGAGATGAAAATTTAAGTTTGGAGGGTATTTTTAAAAGAAAAATCAGAAACTGAAGGTTAGAATGCAAATAAGAAAAATTTGGCCACGTAGGATCACCCAGTCAGCAGCCTCGACGAACCAGAGTGTGCTGCGTGGAAAGGCACATTAACTCAATACCACGCAGAAAGCCATAGTGGCAATCCGCGAACCCTGCGATCAAACGACCCAGAAGCGATCCTGCGCACGTGGACAGTCCAGATCCGTTTTCTCATTAAGCGTGATCGGACGGTCGAGATCAAATATGATGAACGATGCAGATTCATTTTCTTCTTAGGCGCGATCGAACAATCAAGATCAAATACGATGAACGGTCAAGATTAACGCGAGATGAGTATAAATATTTCGCGTCACACTGAACCCGAACCCTAGATGTCAGCCTCCCGTCGGAGAAGAAGAACCAGTCACGAGATAAGGGAGCCAGCCGCCGACCGCCGCCGCACCGGAGCCACCTTTGACCGTAAAAAAATGTACAAATTCTCTTACCTGCTCAAAATGTTATTTGAGATCAAAATGTTATTTGAGTTATTTTTATGATTTTTACGAACATTCAGTTTCTATATCGGTGAGTAGTGTGATATTTTTATTGAGCTAGTGTAGTTCACTCCTTTATCTATTAACTATTTCAGATCAAGAAGGTTGAGATCCAGATCTTGATCAGTAGGAGGGCTATGAGTAGGTGTCCCCCCAGATCCTATCAAGAGCTAGTGGATGTTAACCTCCCTACAATATTTATTTACTATTTTCATATATTACTACGTTCTTTTTTTATGAACCGCTGTGAAAGAGACATTTCTGTAGTCCTATTGAACATATTAATTTATGTGTAAGGAATGTAAACTCTAACGTTATTATACATTTCCATATTTAAATTACAATTTTATTTTATCCAAGGTTCCAGGTCTTTATAATTACTTCATTAACCTTCGGGTATAGACATCGATTCACTTTGTTACATATGAAACTAAATGAAAAAAATGATATTTTTTTTAAGTTTCAAGTTTATGCTAATATATAAGAGTTCTTCTTTCCTCTTTGGGCTCTAATGTTTCTCAATGCTCTTAAGTTATTTTCAATAGTCGAAGTCATGCTTCCATATTAATATTCAAATTAGTCTCCGTTTTTTTCTTTTAAATATGATAAATATCGAAATTGATTATCTTAATATCATAAGTTAACTGTCAATCGATAATTTTTTTAAAAGTAAAAAATTTTTGTTTTTGTTGTCCGTTTCAATCGTAAGTTGTATGCTTTCTAAATTTAGGCTTTTTTGTTTTTAAATTTATTAATTTAATTTTTATTTATAATTCCTTTTTTTCATACATATATATATATTCTCTTCGACATTTTGTAATTATATAATTAATTTCTAATGCACAATATTGTTTTTTTTTAATACATTTTGTATAATCACAAAAGTAATTAAAACCATATTTGGTTATGTTCAATTCTTTTTATTTTTTATTACAAATAGAAAAATGTGAAATAAATTTGCATTTATTTATTTATTTTTTAGCATTCTAAATTTGTTTTTGCGTGGGGACAAATAATAATAATAATAATAATAATAAAGAAAAACATATGGACAAGTTGCTCCCTACATATAATAGAGCCACCTAAAAGCATTATTGAATCCCTAGCTTTTTTAAAAAAAAAAAATAATAATAAAAAATAATAAATAATAAATAAATTTTTAGAGATATCATCTAAAAATTTCTGTATTAAAGTTTAATTAAATAAAAAATTTATATTTATGGAATTGACATTTCAGAAAAAAGTCTATAAACTTTAACAGATATTTTCTAATGGCAAATAATTTTTCTGGTTTCTGAACCAAAAAAAAAAGAAGAAGCTAAAGTTAAAAGATTCTTTAACTTTAAACCCCTATTAAGTACATAATTAATTTAAGTTTATATTTAATTGAATTAAATTAAATTTTCATTCACCAAATTTAGCATATACAGTAAAATAAATGTTAGGAATTATTATTATTATTATGGCTACCAGACGTTTGTGATAATTGGAAGATTGGGTTGTCACGGGATGAGAGAGAGAGAGAGAGAGAGAGGGAGGGAGAAGTTGTATGTAAATGGCGGATAAAACGAGAACTGTCTAAACCTTGTTACCTCAACCTACTTCTCCGCCTTCTTCATCCAACTCTCTCATATTCCTTCTTCTCCTTCCTCTCTCTTGCCTTTCTAACCTTCTTTGCTCCACCAATGGCCTCTGGAAATTACTCACTTCACTTCTCCACAACTAATAGCCTCACCGTCTTCCACGCCACTCATCATCTCTTCTCAGCTTCTTTTCTCAGAAATTCATTTCCCTGGCCTTCTAAACGATTCACTAATCTCGACAAAACCAGGTATACATTCTGCTTTCTCTTCTCATCTTCTCCTTTTCGCTTCGCTTTCACTTCTTTTTGCTGTTTATTTGATAATGCTGTGACTTTCCTTTAAATAAATGATGAAATCGAGAGTATTCTCTCTTGTAACTCTTTCGTGCTTTTGTTAGGTTTTACAGCAAATCGCTTTTGTCTTTTTCTTTTTTTTTTTCTTTTTAGGTTGCTTAGCGTTTGCTGATGTTTTGCTTATCCCTGAAATCAAGTGGGAGATGAATCTTGTTGAGGACCGTCATGATTAATTTTGTTATATGTATATACACACATTTAAAATCATGAACATGTGCTCTTTCTTTTTGTTTTATCTTGAGGTTAGATTGTCTCTGTGGATATTATACTGTTGCAGAATCATTAATCGCAATTTTGTTTTCATATCTCATCATTTTATGAGCTTCACTTATTATAATTGGTTATTTTCTTTGTGTTATTAACACAACCTGATCTGTATTGAAGTCTAATTTTTAGTGTTTTTCTATCGATGCTTTTTTCTGCTTTGGTCATTGGTGTATAACCAGAAGGCCATTCATAACGATACGAACAAATTTCTTACGACTTCGTTTATTTCATTTCTCTTTCAATTCTTATTTATAGCTTTTATATTTGAATCACCTCCACTCCAACACGTGGCTTTTTGTCAGATTGACAATTTCAACTACTAGAATTGTTCATGGACGGTTATCAGCGACAGCTCTTGAGGTATATAATGGTTCTAATTCATTAGATTGGATGTTATACATGCTATTTTGCTAAAATTCCTGTTTTCTTTTGGATTTTTGCTTGGAAGGACGGAAATCAAAGTGAGACTGATACAATTCCCACTCCCAAAGTTATAATTGATCAAGACTCTGACCCAGATGCAACAGTGGTGGAAGTAACCTTTGGAGATCGCCTTGGAGCTCTACTTGATACGGTATTAAGCAATCCAATAAACCTGTTTAAATAATCCGTCTTTTACAACTAACATAATCCTCGATTATAAGGAAGACTAAGCTTTCAGCTTTGAGTTTTTGGGATTACTTTTGCCTCCTCGTTTTAAGCCAATTCAGTATTGTGATCTATCAGTAAATGGACTGCAGATGAATGCCCTCAAAAATCTAGGCCTGAATGTTGTTAAAGCAAATGTGTATCTGGATTCTTCAGGCAAGCACAACAAGTTTGCCATTACAAAAGCGTATGTTATAAACTTTAAAAATTTCTTTCAATGTCATCCTTTCAAGACTTTGTTTCCACATGCATTATTTCCACTTGCATTTTCAGCATGTGCTGGGAATTTTGCCAACCTTTTCCGATAAGCAGTTGACACATATAGTTTTGTTTGCCTCTGCCCTGCCTCTAATATTAGCCATTATTAGTCTTTGAAAATTCTTTTAGAAGACAAATGAATGAGATAAAAAAGATTTCATATTCAGCCTTTTTATTTATTCAGAGATGAACTGAAATATACTTATCTTGTTTCCCAAGGTACGGATTTAGGAGAGAATTGTGAATGCTTGAATTACATTGTAGTTGCATCTAACACTTAGAGAAATAGACAGATGTTCCTGATGATCAAAACTCAGTGTCAGATAAATCATTCTACTTCAGATTAAGGGAGCAGAAGAGGGTGGATATTTAACATTGAATTCTAGATCAGTTCTCTTTGTACCAAAGAGGTCTGACTGAGTCTATGTTGGAGCTTTTTTTGCAGTGATACCGGTAGAAAGGTAGACGAACCAGAGCTGCTTGAAGCGATTCGATTAACAATTATAAACAATCTGCTTCAGTATCATCCAGTAAGCACCATTTTCTGTAATCACCTGGTGGAGCTCCTCATGTTGTACTTTCCTATCCTTCTATGTTTATGAATGTGAATTTGTTGTCAGGAATCAAGTGCCCAGCTGGCAATGGGAGCAGCATTTGGTGTTGTGCCACCAACAAATCAGGTCTTTGTTCTGATGCTACTTCATGTTTAAGATATGAGGGGTTTCATTCTAGATTTCCTTTTTTCTTTATTTGAGGGTAAGAGTCCCCCTTTTTTTTCTCTTCGTAGTATTACATTTAGTCTATGGAACTTGAAGCAGTTAGAAGAAGGCTGTGATGGTTCAAATAGAATAATGCCATCATGTATTCTTTTCTTTTGATAAACTGTTCCTTGGCCAAGTTGTGTCGACTATATGGGAATTCCCTGTTTCTCTTAATTACTAGGTGGAGCATTATAATCCACATCAAAATTTATGCCGGATTCGCTTTATTAAATTCCTCAGGTGGATGTGGACATTGCAACACACATAAATGTTTATGAAGATGGCCCTGAAAGAAGGTAACACATAATGCAGTGTTTGTTTTTGACAAATGCATTATGTGGTCTTTATCCATCATGTTACGGTCCATTGTTCCTTTCTCAAATGGCATAATTTCTATTAATAGTTCTTGTACATTTACATGCCTCAATAGAATGAAGCTGGCAATTATAGCTTTTGCTTTCCAAATACTGTTGATTATATTTATAGCATTATTCTGTTTATGGGTAATTGCGGTCCTGAATAGGATTGGGTTTTTTCTATTTATACATTTTATACTGGTATCTGCAGCTTACTATATGTGGAAACAGCTGATCGCCCTGGATTGCTGGTAGATCTTGTAAAAATTATAACTGACATTAACATTGATGTTGAATCAGGAGAATTTGACACTGAGGTAATCCATTTGAGCATTCCCTTGCTTCTTGGTTATAGTTTTGAACAAGAATATTGACTGTCCTCTCTCTCTCTCTCTCTCTCTCTCCATTTCATATTTGGTTGTTGGATACCAAAGGGATTGTTGGCTAAGGCAAAATTTCACGTCAGCTACAAGGGTAAAGCCATCATCAAGCCCCTCCAACAGGTGAATACGTTATTTCCAGAAATTACATATCATTACTTGTCTAACAGATGTTTAGTTGTAGCAACTTTTCTTACGTTGCAAGATTTTTCTTCTGCTTTTAGTAGAAAGAAAGTGAGATAAAAATATCAAATTTACTCTAATAAAACAAACAATACGGTAAGAAATTGTGTTTCCAATTTGAAAAACAATTCATTTTACCGAAAAAATTAGAGATAAAAAGAGAATATACTTGATAAGAAAATTAGCAAAAAATGATGGTAAAAGAAATACAAATAACATTTGTTTTGGATAAGTATGGGAGTAGAGAAATTGATCTCTGAAATTGTGATAGTAATATGGTTTCTTGAATGAATAAATATGACAGGTTCTTGCTAATAGTTTACGATATTTCTTGAGGCGTCCAACGACAGAGGAGGCCAGTTTTTAAGCCATTCTAGAAGCTGAGCTGAGCAGTCTCCGTTACATATATGAATTCTTAATTTTTTTTTTTCTTATTTTGGATCCTGCTGGGGATCGTAGAATTTTACCACAGCCAAAATATTTTTGCCAATAAACTTGTATTTCATTCCCATTGTAAAGTAATCACAAGTTGTTTAGTTTGCTGTTTATAAAAACAATTAAATAATTATTCCTGAATTACTTAATTTGATTTAGTGCCATATAAGATTAGAATGACTATAATATTATTCTTTAGTATAAACTTGTATTTCATTCTCATTGTAAAGTAATAACGAGTTATTTGGTTCGCTAGTTAATAATACTAATGAAAATGTTTTGCTAGGAATGGAATTGAACTAGTCGGAATTATCATTTGGCTCACACTTAGGAAGAGGCAATTATATATATATATATATATATTATATTTGATTTAGTACTACTATATAATATTTTATATACATATAACATTATAAATTTACTTAAAATTTTCAAATAATATTATAAAATTTGTTATTTCTCTAGAAAATAATAATTAAAAACAATTGAAATTCAGGAAAAAACTATCATACGGTGCGGTAAATGAATCAAATTAATACAATAATTATTTTATAAATTTAATTTTAAAATTATTTATGGTTATTTTAATACCTGTCTGGAATATTTAAAATATATTTTATAATTAATAATATTTAATATCTATACCTATAATATATATATATTTAAGGTTTATTTTTAACAGTGAAAAAATTAAATCTATAATAAGAATTATGAAATAAATTAACATTCGTTTGTCATATTATCACTTAGTGTTAAATACTAACTATTTTTTTATATTCTGATTAAAGAAAACTATTTTTTTTATATGTATTTAATGTTATTTTATTAAATTAGTAAACTGCGCATGTTAAATTTGTAGTGATACTGATCAATATTAGAAATAAATAAATATAAGTATCGAATAGGCCTAGGGTTGAAGAAAGTTATCTACTCCAAAAAACAATCCTCTTGATGGAGAACCTTTCAAGTATCGAAACACATGAAAAGCTGTATTCCAGTGAAGCTGTGTTGGTTTATGCATAAACTGACTAAGTTGTTGGACTGCATAACTAATATATGGACGAGCAAGATTAAGATACAACAGCCTGCCAAACAATCTCCTATATTGCTTAGGGTCAGAAAATTCAAGGCCAACTTCTGTGCATTTAAAAGTCTTTGAAAGAGGAGCGGGAGCAGGCTTACAGCCTAATAATCCAATATCTTGAAGGATGTCCAGAATGTACTTGCGTTGACTGAGGAAAGTACCTAAAACAAAATGAGTTATCTCCACCCTAAGAAAGTAACGAGTATGATCTAGATCTTTGATTGTAATTTTAGAATGTAGAAAATGTTTGACTGCTAAAATTTAATATTCATGAGTGCCAGTAACCAACACATCATCTACATAAACGAGGAGAGTCAAGAATGAAGAAGAAGCAGACTTGATGAACAAACAATGATCATGAGGAGACTGATTAAAACCATAATGCTGTAATTGAGAACTGAATTCAACATTCCATTGTCGTGATGCTTGTTTAACTCTAAAAAGGGACTTGACAGGTTGTGCTTTAGTGTATCCTTCAGGAGGAGTCATATAGACTTCCCCATGTATAAAACAATGTAGAAACGCGGTTATTAATGTCCAACTGATCCAATGGCTATGATTTGGCAGTAGCAATGACAAGAAATAACCTAACAGTAACAAGCTTAGTAACCGGTGAAAAACTATCAAAGTAATCCACACCATGAACTTGATTGTAGCCTTTCGCCATGAGGCGTGCCTTATAGCGATCAACAGTGCCATATGATTTGAGTTTAAGCTTGTATACCCATTTAGAACCAATTGGTTTCTTCCCTATTGAAAGTGTAGTTAAATCCCATGTATGGTTTTAACTCCTGTTGCATGGCTAACATCCAATCTGTTTGAGTGTTAACCTGCTTATAAGAAGTAGGTTCCTTGACAGAAAATATGTTAGACAAGAAAGCCATACATGAATTTGATATTTGTGTGTTATGTTGATAAGGGTAAGTGAGTAGAGTATGTGCCGAACTCGTAGATGAAAAAGACTGATCAACTTATTTAGTCGTAGTAACATTATATGCATTAAAATGAGAAGCATGAGAAACATAATCAGATAACCATGCAGGTGGTTTCTTAGGCCTAATACTGTGTTGTAATAGTTAGACTGCTGGACACTGAGAAAGAACTGGAGAGGTTGAAGGATCATAAGTATTGAATGGTATGAAAGAAGAATATGCGGTAATCACTCCAGGAGAAAGAATTTCAGTGTATTGAGATAAATCACTTGGCTTAGGTAACACAGATTCTGAATGATTAACAGGTAAAACATTTTGGAATAGAAAAGTTGTTTCATGGAATATAACATCTCTGGACCTAAAGATGATGTTATTATTTAAATCATAAACTTTGTAGGCCTTTTGACCTACACTAAAACCAAGAAAAATGCAGCGAAAAGCTCTAGGGACAAATTTATCTTTGTGAGAAAAAGTGTTAGTAACAAAGCAAAGGGAACCAAAGATTCTGAGATCATAGTAATTTGGCAATTCACCATAAAGCATTTCAAATTGTGTTTTCCAATTAGTAATCTATTGATGATTTGTGTTGTCATTAAGATCGAATCACCCCAAAATTTTAATGGCAAGTTGGACTAAAACATCAATAATCTAGCAACATAAAAAAGGTGTCTACGTCTCCTCTCAATCACATCATCTGTTGAGGAGTATAGCTACAAGAATGTTGATGAATAATACCGAACTGTTGAAACAATAAAATGACTGTATTATTGATAAACTCAGTTCCATTATTAGTCATAACCATTTTAACATAGGTTTGAAATTGTGTTTTGATCATGAAGAAAAATTGCTGAAGAAAAGTGAGTCTGAAACTAATTTTGGAGTAAAAAAGTCCAAATGACTTTGTTATAATCATCCACAATAGTTAAAACATAATAGACACTAGTAAGAGATACAACGTTGTATGGCCCCCAAAGATCTATATGTAATAATTCAAAAGCTTGTTTCGTTGTAATTTTGCTAGTAGGAAAAACCAATCTGGTTTGTTTTGATAAAGGATAAATGTCACAAACTTCAATAAAACATGAATGTTTGGGAATTATACCAAAAATATGTTGAAAAATATTAATTGAAGCATGCCCCAATCTTTTATGCCAAAGAGAAAAAGATGATTCTGTCACATTGCATGAATAATGCGGCTCAATACATTTAGAAATTGGAAACGTAAAACTAGAAGACTTTGAATATGCAGAAATTTTCTCAACAGGGAAGCAAGATTTGTCTAAAATGTATAAACATCCTATGACTTTCCTAATTGCCAGTATTTCTTCATTTTGCAAGTCCTGCAAAACAAAAGAGTCAAAATGAAAAATGAAACCAAAGTTAACATCATTGGCTAGGCAATTTAACAAAAAGTAAATTATACTTAAAATCCAGTAAGTGTAAGACATTTTACATGGTTAATTTGGGGCTCAAAAACACTGAACCAGTGTGTTTAACAAACTTGACAGTGTTATCAAGTAAATAAACAGGGGTAGGTTGATTGATAGATTTACATTGAGTCAAAAAAAGTTATCAGTGCATATATGGCTTGAGGCTCCAATATCAACTATCCAGGAATTGTTTCCTATAAAACAAGCAGCATTCATAGCAAAAATGTAAAATCGAACCCTCGAAGTCATAAAGATGAGCAAAATTGACTTGATTTGAGTTTACCTGTTGCTTTCCCTTCATAAGCTTACTGACCTCTCTTTGCCCCAAATTAATCAAGACTGTGTTCCATTTAGAGTCTTTTTGTACTTCATCACGAGTTTGTACTTGAAGAAGAGCATCAGTACAGTTAGCCATCTGTTTGGTATTCCCTTTCCTATCATTTTATTCTTTGTACCACTATAGATAACCATGTAGTTTGAAATAAGTTTCTCTAGTATGGTCATCTCTCCCACAATGTATGCAGCCTCCTACAAGTTTAAAACATGTATCTCTGATATGCCCATCTTTTCCATAATGATTACAATGTCTATCTACTTTCTGATTCATGTTTTTCTTATAAGAACCTTTTATATTACCATCTCTTTTATTCAAAGAATTTTTAGCAAGCATAACTGTATTTTCCATCACATCAATGAACGAAAAATATACCTCTATGTTTTTCAACTCTGAAAACAATGCAATAAGCCGTATTAATACTGGGAAAAGGCTCCATCATCAAGATCTGGTTTCTAATTTGATCCTAAGGGTCATTTAGTCCCATTAGAAACTGCACAATCCTATTAAACGAATTCGTATCAGCTACTGACTTCCCTGCACCACAAACACATTCTGGAAAAGGCATCAAACAATTTAGTTCATCCCATAGTTTTCTAAAGTTTAGTATAATATTATAGAGAAATTTCCTTCAGTAATAAAAGTGATTTCCCTCTGCAATTGATATAATATAGGACATTCACAAAAATGAGTTACCATTTCATCTCATAACTCTTGTGAACTACTGGTGTAAAAAAAAAAGCATCAACAATCTCTTTGGATATAGAATTCAATATCCAAGAGGTAACCATACAATCAGCCCTTACTTATCTTTCATATTCAGTGGAATTTTCACTAGGGTTCGTGCATTTTCCATTAATAAACCCCAATTTCACTATTGCACCTAAGGCAATTTTCATGGATCTACTCCATGAAAGAAAATTGTTCCCAGTAGGTGGGAAGAAACTAAGATCATACCTGGATGATTTAATGCTTGTAAAAACAAAGGATCATCATTTTGATTCACTCTCGTTGTTAGTGATTGAATAGTTTGTGACTCTGCAACATCTTATGTTACTTCAACCATGAAGAAAATCAAGAAGAAAAATAATACCACAAATAGAACCAATATCCTTTGATCAATGCTCTAAATCAACACTAGAAAGAAATAAATCTAAGTAGAGTAAGAACAAAATTAAAAGAAATTCACTATATATTTTTCTTAATTATAAATATGAGGATGTAGGTTTATATACAAGAAGAAGTAGCCAGCTAGCGAGCTATCACTAGCACAAACAAAATACTTTCTAACAAATTATGCAAAAAAAAATAGAAAAGAAACTGAAAACTAACTACTGTACAACTATCATAATGCACGAGCT